GATGTAGGATTGAGAAAATCTCACATTTTGCATCTTCACTAAACTCCCTCTATGTGCAATGCTCCTTCCTCCAAGCCAACAAAATTCCTGAACAACATTGCACTTGGTTCTGCTGCCCCATGAGTCACTGAATGACTGAATGAGTGAGCAGATCGCAGCCAGGAAGAACAGAATGCGTTTCTTCATGCCTGAGAAGCTCTTAGCTTCTCGGGCCATGAAGCCAGCTGGAGCTGCACGGTGCAGTCAGGCATGATTAACGGGAAAACAAACTTATTACCAGCCTCAAGCCAGCACACCCACTCCCCAACCCCCGCAGCCCGAGGAGTGACTTCAGTCATCACATCCAGCGTACATTTCTCACGCCAGCCACTTCCACGGGGAGGAGAGGAGCAATGCATTGCCGCAACCAGAAGGGCAGCATTAATTGATCCCCTTCGAGACACCGTTCTACTGATGTGTTGGTAGCAAAACGGAAATGCTTTGGGGAGGCCACCTTGAGAGACGGCGGTGCTCCACCACCGGTGAAGCTCAAAGTGAAAACATACATGACATGCAGAGGGCAAGTTTTATTAAAGATCTCCGGATCGTAAACAAACCACCCCATGAAATACAGAAAGAAGACGGGGAAGGGAAACATGTCACTGAGAGGTCAAGCAGTACATTTCTAGGTGTTTAAATTAAGTTTCTGCTTCCTCTGCATGAGGCATTAAAATGTGTAGATAGGACAAAAACAGCACAGCCTTAAATATTCATATTTTCACATAATAAGAGCAGATAAGGTGAATAACATTTCGTGCAGCCTAAGTAGCTTATCATTTGCATAATATAGGAACTTTTAATGGCAATACAGCTATTCAAAAGCAAATGGAAAAAAAGGAAACGTTTTTTTATTTTAGCAGACTAATGGATAGAAATGAAATATGCATGTGCATGTGTGCATTTGTGGACCCTGTGAATCCATGAGCAAATGTGGAGCAGAGACAGTTTTGGGTTGCGGTCAACACAAATTTTATTTTGCAGATTACAACTGATTCAGGATTAAATACGTTTTCCAGCCTCGTGCACTTCGAGCTGCAGTTCATGCAACATAATATTTGAGTTTCTCATTCCTAAAAAGCTCCTCACATCACTTCTTAAAGAAAAAAAAATAGTACACTGAAAAGCATAGCGGCTACGCCAGACCTATATTCAGCCACTAATATTCACTCTCTGTCTGTCTTTGTGAGGACAACGAGCAGCAAATAGGATCCCACACACATCCTCCCTGACTAACCCGTCAACACCGCTGGGGACGGGTGTGAACGTTTGGCCGAGTCATCAGGAGTGTGCTGCTTGGTGACACGTCGCAGGTCGCCTAATGCTCCTGCCGTGTGCCACCAATCAACAGCCCCCTTCAGAGGCTGCAGCACCCACACCTTCCTCACCTTAATTACAGCTTGCATGCGACAGCGACAACACCTCTGACTCACCTCGGAGTGAGCCTCGCGAGGCCAGATTAGCCACCTTGAAGTGATGTGGACTTTAGGTTGTCCAACACATTGTTTTATTTATTATTATTATTATTATTATTGCTTTTATACGTCTACTTTTCCTCCTGAAAGTCACCAATGCTAAACTTCCGTCGTCGTCTCACCTTCACTCATCTTCATCAATGTCCAAGTTCGAGAAGGTGGCAGCGACCGACTGTCCAGCTCATGCCCACCACCCTGAGAAACGAAAACGTTTGGACAAACTCAACTGAACTGCTTCAGTTGGTGACGAGTGATTCAATTAAGTTATTAAGTTGGTTTAAGTTGACAAATTTAAGTCAGTCTTAATCAAATCATTGAGTTTACTTCAGAAACAACCAATCAGAGCCAGGAGGAGGGTCCTAGCGCTGTCAATTGTAGTTATGCGCATGCTAGTTGATGTTCTAATGGCTGAGAAACAATTTATTATTATGGGACGTCCATTTATCCGCCGTCATCGGTGTCTATGCTAACTAGGCTGAGCGTTCCTGGCAGGCTCTGCCGTGAGGAAGAAGCTGTAGCGTAGCAGAGAGCAATAGGGGAGATGTGGACAGTACACAAGGATGATTGACTACATACATTTTTTTTTTTAAAGAACTCATTAAAGCTCCAGAATTGTCATACAAGAGTCTCTAAAATCTCAACGTGTGTGCTACACCGAACTTAAAAAGCAGCCATAAAAGAACCGAGTGAATGATTTGGGCACCGACTATCACCTGGTGCGGCTTGGCATGTCCGCCTGTTGCTTTTAAACGGAGCTGCTGGAGAACGGCACCCAGGTTTTATTTATCTGAATTATTCATCAAGCTTCAGTTGTGTTTTGCAAAAACAATCTCTTTATTGAGGCTGTGAAGGGGGACTTTCATCACCTGAGCCGACGTTATGTTCACGCGGGATGCTTTACGGCTCATCTCGGCGGACTCGGAATTATTGAACGTGCAAATCATGCAGAGCACGTTTGGGATTTTATGATTTTCTCACAAACGACTCTAACCAAGGCGAGGCTTTTCCTCCCGTGCTCGGAGGTCGCAGGAATCTGGCCAGGAAACAACAGACGGGTTGGGGAAATAATGAGAAACTCGGCACCACTCTGCTGCTGTGCTACTACAAAAAAGAAAAAGACAAAGTAATCGGTTAATTTGGGGTCACAAACATCAAACTGTAATTCAAGTGAGCTGGTTCGCGCTAAAATCACTGAAATCTAATCTTAGATTTGAAAACAAAACACAGCTTCCAAACGACCAATACGTTTTTATTACAATAAAATCAAGAAGGTTTGTGTGGAGAAACCTTTTACTGACTGGGGTCAAACCTGAAATGTCCGACAGTCCACTCCGGGTTGTTCTTCTAAATAGATACTCTTGATGTGTAAGTTCTGTGACCCATTCGTCAAAGTATTTTGAGAAAGTTTTAGGAGGATCTATTTCTTTTTGTTCTGAGAGTCTTTGGCGGGCGCTGGAGAGGTAGGGGCGCCAGAGTTCACACCGACAACGAGTCGAACCGGGTTCCTCCGGCTTTCGTTCTGTTTATGAGCTAACACACTGACCCGCAGTCGACAGTAAGTGTTTATCTCTGACAAAGTGACGTTGCAGAGCTTGACTCATGACTCACATCCCACTTTCTACTGACTCCCAGATGATGGGAACAGTGTTGACTCACAAGTAAGACTGATTTAAAAACGAGTCCTTCTCCCAGAGTGAGAGCCTCTGCTTTTGATGCCCGGATGAAACTTCACAATCTTCGTCAAAATTTCAGTCAGTAAAATTGCTTCCCTCATTAGGAAAACTGTTCAATTAAAATGTTTCGACCACACTCGGGCGTTTCATCGGCTTTCCGTTCCAGTCCCCTCGTTTCATTGAAGGCGTCTTCGGTTCCTTCGGTCCTGTAACAAGGGCTTGTTATGGCCCTTGGATGCAAATCACAGCTGTCAGCTGCCTTGTTTTCACCTCGTTTCCGCCTGCGGAGGGTGTTGCTGTCTTGTTACACCGGTCGTCTGGCGTTGCCACTGTTTATCACCTGTGGACTGGATGTGGAGATGTGCTGAACACGTCGCACCGCACCGCCATGAAACACAGTAATGGTGACGCTTCTCATGCCTCACAACCAAAGTCAATAAGATCATAAATGGAGAATTCACATCCTTGAAGCACCTTCATTTGAAAACTATCTCTAACAATATCTCACCGCTTGACCAACGCCATTACGTAAAAAATATCTGAAAGCAGGCAGGAAGAAATGTATTTTTGCTTTCTCAATCGATCGTTTTGGTATCTGCGAAGACGTGAAGTGTACGGAAAAACGTCACACGGTTGTACAAATGTTGCACATATTCAAATCCAAAATGTATTCAGTGCTCTTAATTTTGACAACCAGAAGTCACCAAACTGGTAAGTAGAGCTGTTCGATGAAGGCCTCAATGGGATTGTTGGGGAATATTATTGAGCAAACATCATGAAAACACATGAGACAAGTCAGGGACAAAGTTGTGGAGAAGAACGCCGTTCTAAAACAACCAAGCCTTCAACATCTCACAGGTTATTGCTCGGTTACTGTGGAAGATAGATGTCTCTAAATACAGGGTAGGAGACCCTGTGAAGAGGTTTGGAAAAACGGGAAAAGTATTGGACAAAAAACCGAGTTGAGAATCTCTGTCGATGCTCAAAAACTGAGGTTGAGAGACTCTCTGCTCTGACTGAGCGAGCCGCACGTCTCGCTCGGAGAAATTGTTAAAAATGTCAACTGGTGACATTGTTTATTTATTAACAAAGCACATATTATAAGCATATACATGCTTTTGCGCCTTTTCATTTGTTTTTGTTAGTTGTGTTTATTGTTGGGTGAACGACATGAACACTGAAATGAAATGTTCCTAAAGTGTCCCGAATACAAACGCACACCTCCAGCTTTTTGTGTGCGAACGACGACAAAAACTGCGGACGTCATTTCCCGTCCACTTCACAATGACGCGCCACTTTGTGTCAGATTCGGTGAACTTGAATATCCGTCACGATGAGTTTCGCTCCACAGATTGAAAGTATTGTTTGAAAAAAAACGATAACATTTAAACAAACCGCTGAGCACGCTTTTTATCGTTAACATTTTTGTGTTAAAAATATTTTTTTTTATTGTCTGGTGCGAGACTAATTTTAAAAGTCACGTCTTCACTTAATGTAAAGCTTTCAAGTATACATTTGTGTGTACTCAATCTGCATAGATCCATGTGATTTTTTTTTTTTTTTGTCTTTGTAAAATATGTTTATTTTTTTCAATTTTTCATCCCACGATCCACAGCAAAATAACTCACTGTGAAAACAACATGTGTGTATTTTCGTCGACGCTTTGATTTGAACATTTTGGACCATGAAAGCGGTATAGCCAGTCCTTGACGGGGAAAGCGATCAAAGTTTGACACTTTGATTCCAATCCGTTCAAACCCGACAGGACCGGCTGAGGACGTGAGGATGAACATCCTCCAGTGGACTCCGGAGGTGCGACCTCTCTCCCGTCACGTAAAAGTAATTCGATCGCGGTGCTGAGCAATGTCGTCGGAGCCGAAAGCGGTCTTGTGTTCCCTGAGCAGCCCTCGGGCCGCATCGACCGGGTCGGATGTTCCACGGCGGCCCATTTTAAAGGTAAGGTCAGCTCGCAGGGAAAAGCTGAGTTATGGGGCTAATAAGGGAAGGAACATCGATGTGTCTCTGCGACAAGCGATGTCGGAGCCGTTCATTAACGCAGGGGGTGTGATAAACGGCCAAACAAGTGGAGCCAAACAAATGAAGCCAAACAAATGAAACACTGCGATCGTCGTGTTTCTTGTTAGGTCGGATGAAACGTTTTCTCAGTGTTTGCCTGGAAATCTTTCAATCCAATCTCAATCTGTTCTTCTGAAACCCCCCACTTTCAACATTTCACTGTTTTTAATTAAGTTTTGAAGAGTTCAGAAATTAGGACCCACCATCCAAAGCAAATCCCACTTGATAAATACGTTAGTATTGACCTTTTGGGGGTCTACTCCTCTTGTAGATGCAAACTATGATCATTGTATTTGAAAAAGTCGACTTTTCAGTGTTTTTTTTTTTTTTTTTTTTGAGATGCCCCCGTATTTTTATCACCATCAAGTACATTTTACCCAATGGTGCTGATGTCACGCTTAAACTTCCTGCGCCATTTATATCTGATTAACCTTTTCAAAACAGAAGTGATTTAATAAAACCCCTAAGTTAAGTTAGTACCGGAAGTTCAAAATTAATCTGCAGAATAAAGATTGAATTTTTTTTTTTAAAGTGACATTGGTGTAAAATGACACTGCATGACAATTCAACATTTTGAGAAATGATTGCGTAACCTCTTCAAAAGGCTTCAAGTAGCGACAAAGTTCGGCCAGTTCAGATGATTTTACAGACGTAAACAGACGTAACAAAGAGAAACTGAAACGACAAGTAGTGCTCATCTCAAAGTCCCAGGGAAAAGAAACATTGTGCTCTTCCAACACCTACGGCTCCAAACCACAAGTGGGAGTCAGCAGTCGAGGACCATCCATGCGTCTGAACACTCCAGCACACTTGCGGAGATGAGGCAGCTGCAGCAGCCAACCAATCACTCTAAAAGGTGATTGCGCTGAAAACCACCAAACTGCAGGACGCTTCCCCCAACGCAGCGCATCGCTGACGAGTCTATCCCGAGCAGCTGTGCGGGCGGAGCGCGTTTGTCAGGCGATGGGACCCACAGGGGCATGCAGCAGGAGTGGCTGGGAAACTTAATGGGCAATATTTGTGGTGGATTGCATTGTGCTCCATATTGTCTGGAGACGCCGACGACAGCACGAGTGTCCCAGATGCCATCAGATTTATAGGAAACAGGCATCTGTCCTGTGGATTTGGAGGTGTAAAGAGGCTCCAAGCACTGAAGGTGCAGCTGAAGACTAAACCGTGTTCCTGCATCTATATCAAATGCACCGTTTCCCCCTTACACACATTATGCAATGTAAATTATTTGCTCTTACAGACTGTTTGCTCTTTCTTTCCTTTGCCAGGCAGATGGGCGACTTTCTACTACTGAGTTGATGATAATAATACATCAAACTTATACAGTGAATTTTTTATTTATTTACTTTTGGACACTAAAAGACACTTCACAAGGAAATACAGAAATACACACAACGTAAAACAAGTGGCTGAGAATTAAGAAGAGGTGTATAGGCCAGGTCAACATTCGGGTGCAGAGTCCGATATCTTGATGTTTTCCAGAGGGGTTGGGCAGAGAAGGTCCGATCCCACAGGGTCTGGTTCTGACGGGGGTCGTTACTCATTATCAGACTATTGATAATGAGTAACGAAGGTGGTGAGAGTCACAGTGAAGGAAGTCAGTGAGAAACGAGGGGCTGAGGTTATTGAGGGCTTTCCAGGTGGCGAGGAATATTTTTGTTGAATGGGGAGCCAGTGGAGATTTTTAAGAGCTGCAGTTAAAATTACAGTAATTCTACTGTAATTTTTTTTTTACAGTAGAATTACTGTGATTTTAATTTCATTCCAGTTTTACTGTATTTCTATTATACTCTTATTAAAACTTTATTAGAGTTTTCTCTTTCAGATCCAACAAGAACAAATCATTTCAGCTACAAAAAAAAAAATCTCTCTAAAACAACCGACTCACAATGACTCTGCATGTCGGTAATTTATGATGGGCAAAGATTTATCACGGTTGCGTTAAGGGTCACCAGGGTCAAGCGAGTTTTGCAATGGCATGTTGAGATTTAAATAATGTTATTAGGGATCAAATTGTCGTTCTTTTAGTAAAAAAAACTTTTACAGTATATAAAAACGACTGCATTTGTAATTTTCCATCAACCAGGAAGACGTTTGTTTGCTGAGGAAGAAAAGAAAAACAGTTTGTTAGGCCCTGAGGACGCTTATGCAACTCAGGAAATAAATATATGGATCAATTTTCAATAAGATGGAAATTCCCCAAGACATTTTTGACTTCCTGGGGGGGGGAAAAAAGGTGTTCCACATTACCGGTCATCCGTTAACATTCGTTTCCAGTAAACAGGTTTCCAGTAAACAGGTTTCCTCGGTTCCAAGGGATCTAACTGTAAAAGTAAGACATCTTATGTCATCATAATAATCATAGGTGTTACGGCAAAACCGGAGCTGATTATTTTGTTCAGAGTTTGTATTAAATGAAGTGAAAACTGTTGTTTGAAGTGTTGTTTTCGTCTCCTGCAAACTTTGCTTTAATTATACTTCTTTTTTCTATCTAATCGTAAGAAATCATAGTCAGACAGGAAGAGCAGGTTTTCTGGAAAAAGAGGAAGTAAGTTTCCAGCTTGCAGGTTTATAAAAATAGTTGAGATTTCTTATTTCAAAGCATAAAAGTTACACAAAAAAAAATAAGAAAACTAAACATTCTGAGTAATTTGAAAACGTTTAAAGTAAAGTACTTATATTAATATTGGTTTACTTGCAAGAATACTTACAAGTAAAACAAGTAACTATAATTACGAAAATAATTACAATGATAGATTATTCTTGGTTTCTTTTCAGAACATCTGTAATAACTCACATTACGATTATAATAAGAGTAATAAGTTATGCTTATCATAATATTATAAATGCATCCTACATCAAAGAAACCAAAAGGGTTATAGATGTGATTTTGACATTGAACTTGAATTGGTGTAAATCATGTAACTGCAATTAAAGATCACTGATGATGTGTTGGAGGTAGATAGTAGGTGAAAGGTTAGGGGTGAAAGAGGAACTAACAGGAGGGCAGAGATGATCAATGCCTTATTTGGAAACAGATTGTTGAACAACTTAAACATTGCAAACAAAAGGTTGTGCAGGCAACAGACGTAGGAGGACAGTTGAGCAATCCTGAGACATTAGCACAGACATCAGGACATAACGTCCCTAAGTCAGTGATGGATAAGAGACCATCTGTCCAAGCAGACAGACAATGAAACGAGCACAGCAACAGTGCTGCTCCTGCTACAACACCTTCTTCATCATCAGGTCTCAACTGGCCTTCATCATCGAAACGGCTACTCCATCCGTCTCTCTCAAAGGGTCTCTATTTAGTTCTCAGTGTCAGTGTTAGGGACAGATAGACAAGATGATTGATTTTACTTATTTGATTATTTCTGCTACTGAATTAAGCTGTACTGACCCTTGAAAAAATGCCTTACCAATAAAATACTTAGCATAAAGAAAACCTAATAGATGTTGTGGACATTCAATTAACGAGTCACCTCAAAGTTATTTGATGGTCATAAAATAGATATGATGTTTGATTCTGGGGAGACACTAAAACCAACCTGGTTCGGTAACAAATGCAAGTTGTGATAAAGAGAAAGACTTGCATTTGTGTGCCCTGTGACACTAGTTGGCTGCAGGCTGCACAGTCTGGCTAATTTACAGCGGGAAGAAGGGTGGGATATCGGGATGGTGGCTGTCAGAAACCAGATCTCACCATCTCTCAACACCAGCTGAAACGGAGTTCACCTCAGTTCTGGACAGGGTGAATCCCAGCAGATTTAGGAAACTCAATTCACCCGTGAGACGGCGAGCTGGTTGCACACCACCCCTCTCAGAAAGGGAAGTAGAGAGTGAGACAGGAGAGAGAGAGGAGGGGAGAGGTGGTGTAGCGCAATCACAAACGATAGTTACTTATCAACAGCGCTGTTAGAACTTCAGGAAAACAAACCACATCTCGTCCATCCCTTTGGCTTACACGGTACAGAAAAGACCTGTTTTATCATATGTCACGTCATAGATGTTTTTCTTTGACTTATTTACATGTTTGAAAACACTACAACCACTGAAAAGTGCCTGTGATATTTTTTGTAAATATCTACATTTCACAGAATAGCTTGTCCAGAATGTGTGGGTTGTACGTTGAGATTACCTCTTGAATTCTGAAATCAGTACTGTGTTGTACCAATGTACAGAGGCAAAAAATGTGCTTGTAAGACCAAAGTATGGAGTGTTAAATATTAACTATGAACACTGACAAAGGTAGCTGACAGAGACAGACAGAGCCCAAACCAGTTGGGGAACGTCACGAGAAAGGAACACTTATTTTCCAGCAGTGGTATCCGGAGTCTTTGTCGCTGAAGTGATTTTCAGTCTGAAATCGTTTGATCGAGGAAATGCAGGCTGTCTCTCAAAGATCTTGAGTTGTTGTAGCCAGACTTGTGCATCAAGAAGTGATTTTGAACTTTTCCAGACGATGAGTTCTCGACCGCAGCTCTACAATTTCCACGGAGTCGCGATGACTCACTGTGTCACCGACAACTGGGAGAAGGTGAAAAACTTTCAGGCCAGACCAGACGACATACTCGTTGCGACATACCCGAAAGCAGGTCAGTCGAATAGCAAGTGCAAACAGATCTTACAGTTTGTAGCGCTTTGAGGAAACAAAGAGTTTCATTTTCCTCCCTCTTGCTTCCTAGGAACTACGTGGGTCTCCTACATCCTTGACCTGCTGTATTTTGGGCACCTACCTCCAGAACGTCAGACGTCCATCCCCGTCTTTGAACGAGTTCCTTTTTTGGAGATAGCGGTCTCTTCTGTGGTTTCAGGTTGACAATCAAACTTTACTATTCTGCCAACTATTCCTAAAAATCACACCTCATCGTTCGATGCTTCTGTCTGTCCGTCCACAGGAACAGAGCTGGCAGACAAGCTGCCCACCTCCCCTCGGCTCATTAAGACTCACCTCCCGGTTCAGTTGGTGCCTCAGTCGTTTTGGGAGCACAATTGTCGGGTAAAGTTTAAAGAGCTTGGTTTGCACATGCTTTCAAAATAAAGTTGCAAGATTATTTGTCACAGCTCCAAAAGTGCTCCAAAACAAGAATAGGGCTAGTTTCTTGACCACACTTCTGACTTGATTGTTCAAAAAATACATGTTGGTTCTTTCCAACAAAGTTTTCTTGTAACTCCGATGCTATAGAGGATTTTAATAAAATCCTTGTTGGTGCTATAAGCACCAACAAGTACTTTCAGAAGAAGCTTGGACCATAATAGTTACGATTGTGCAGTTGTTTACTGTTGTTTTGCTACCAAGGACTGCAAACCAAGAATTTAGTTTTAAGCTGTTTGGTCATATGTTCATTCCACCGTAATGGTTGATGTTCGTTTTAGGTGGTGTATGTGGCGCGCAACGCAAAGGACAACATGGTATCATTTTACCACTTTGATCGCATGAATCAGTTGCAACCGGAGCCGGGAGAATGGAGCAACTACTTCCAGAGGTTCCTGGATGGACAGAGTGAGGACAGATTATGTCTCAAAATGTTTTGGTTTGGTGCTTTTTCTATTTTGGCACAGGCTTCTTACTTTTCCGTGTTGTCCTGTGGCCTCAGTGTTGTATGGGTCGTGGTATGACCATGTGGGAAACTGGTGGAATAAGACAAAGACCTATCCCAAACTTCATTATATGTTCTATGAAGATATAGCAGAGGTAATTTATTTGGTTGAATCTTTACGTTCTGGCTGCTTTTCTGACAGTTTTTACCACAAAGTCGACATCTGACCTTGTGTTTCCAGGACACTGAGAGGGAAATAGACAAACTTTGCTCCTTCCTCGGGTTATCTCCGTCAGCTGAAGATAAGAAGACCATCATTGAACTGGTGCACTTTGACAATATGAAGAACAATGAGATGACCAACTGTTCCAAACGCCCGTTCTTTGATTTCTCAATTTCTCCCTTCTTGAGGAAAGGTAAACGCTACTTAATGAAGTGGAAAAAGTGGCAGCTAGCATTTGGGAGGAAGACATGAATGATGTGTCTGTGGCTTTTCCAGGAAAAGTTGGTGACTGGAAGACCCACTTCACTGTTGCCCAGAATGAAGCGTTCGACAAGGACTACGAGAGCAAGATGAAGGATCTGACACTCCGGTTTCGCACCGAAATTTAAACTGGGCCTGGTGTATTGTAGGTCTCTTATGATGAAGGGGATGTTTTGAAATTCAAAGCAATGGAATCTGAAATGTAAAAGCAGCAGAGTGATTTTAACTTTTTGTTGCCCCTTTTTAACACCACTCTGGGCAACCGCCCAAATTGCCCAACGCAAAAACAAATATTGTGAGAGCATGTGACCCCTTGGAGAGTTTGTGCTGTGAAATCAGGGGTCAGGATCGGAAAAGGCCGCCTCCAGGTTCTGCCCGATCGGAGCAGTTAATCCCCACGCATGAAAACATGCCGAACGGCGTCCACAACCGAGCAACACCTGGCAGAAGGCCTGCCATCTGATCAGATAAATAAAAACAAGAACATGCTCAGGCCAGCCGGTCAAATTCACATGCAGCAGGAGAGCGAGCCGTTTTTGACCTGCCACAACAAAAACATCACGGGTTACATAAAGAAAACGCAAAGGCTGTTCGCATATTAATCAGTCTCAATTGTATGTTTTGGAAGGTGAATGATAATCCTGAGTCAGTGCATCTTTTGTTGATGCCATTTGAATCAGGATTTGGAGAACGTTTGCGCTTTGCCTGGAAAGACAAGCAAAGATGGTTTCTGGTGCCAGAACTTCAATCTGCAGAGATGAAAAAATATATAGTTACCAGTGTAAGAGATGGCTGCGGAAATAGAGCTTAGCATAAACGTAAAAAAATATATACACGCAGGCCTCCATAAAATTAAATGCGTCCTCCGTGTGAAGAGATCATGTGGTGACCCAAGTTTTAGGTTGAAAGTTGAAAAACAACCAGACGTATCATTTTAAGTTTGATTGTGCTAACTTTCACTTTTAAATACACTTAAATATCCCAGCGGTGTTTCAGCATCATGAAAGACTCTTCTTTTTTAATGAACCAGAAGTTTTATTTCCCACTGTCTCAGGCTAAACCAGACAAGCATCTCCGGTTTCAGGTCGGCTCGGACCACCCAAATCATTTCTATTTTCGAAATGCCACAAATAATAAGAGGCGGGTTTCACTGTGGCACAGTTCCAGACGACCACCGTCTCGAACGGACACGTATTCATGTCCAGACCTCGGTTTTCTGAGGAGGAAGAAAAAACAGCTCACCGGAGATTGCGCTGCAATTTGCTGGCTATCTGAGACAATTATGGCAATGATTGCAAGTTATCTCCTCGTGTTACAAAATCAAAACGTGTTTCCCGTACAACAACACTCAAAGAGCATGATAAGAAAACAACAGTCTAGTGCCTGAAATGATCTTTTCTGGTTCTTCTTGTCGGGTGGTGCCACGAGCTGAAACCAGACCCTGGTGTGAACCGTTTGCGTCAAATGAAGACAATATGGGTTCGTCTGAATCGTCTGCAGATAATTAGTTTTTAGCCACAGGACTCTACTCTCCACAGACAGCATATGTTGAGTGGATCCCAATAAAAACAGGCAGTTGTAGCGTGACATGCAACAGCATATTTTGATCCCTTGTCGCGTCTCCGACTCTTATTTCTTCTGTTTCAAACGGATTCATTGAGACGAATAGCCCTGGTTTATCATTTCCGACGTGGAATACAACTGTGAAAGTGTAATTTTACTGAATTCATTTGAAACACCTGTCATTAAAATGACTGGTTGTGATGTAATCGTCTGCTCACAATGTCGGAGAAAACGTTTTTTGGGAATGTTCTTGGACTCCTTCCACGTTTATTGGCACTCCTGGTACAGATGCATTGTCTTTAGTCTACAGCGGGTCATGAGTCATCTTTAAAGCTCTTTTCTCTCCGTCTCGCTCCACAAGTTTTCTTTTAAGATGGTCGTTAGATCAAGACCCAACAATAACCCACTTTCCATTTACTTACAGAGTCCAAGACAAGGTCGCTGTCTTTGCATTTAAAACTGTATGATGCTGTGTCGCTTCAGCTGCTCTTCCAAGTATCCATCCTGTTATTCACATAAATAACAGTGTTTGCTGCTGAAAAAGCTCAAATTATCAATCCATCTGGTTCTGATCAGCAAGCTCCCTCCCATGTTCGACTCTGTGAGCCCAGTTTCACTGAGAGGTGTGCGGATTGATCCAAAGTATACATGATATCGATGTCAATGTGGTATCGGTATTGGTTTGGAACTGGGACGTCAAGATCGATACTCTAGTTTCAGATTCCCGCTTGAAATGTTTGTTTATTTTTGTGCCGTAATTTCTCAATCGCACCTCTAAAAATATTTTATATTGATTTGCTCTCAAATTATCCATTTGGGGGAGGGGGGACATTTTATTTAGGAAAAATGCTCGCAAAATACAAAATACAAAACACAAAAATACTTCCATGTCTTATTAAAGTATTTTATAGACATGTATAAACTTTGAGTTATTTTTGTTCAAACCCAGAACAGAATTTACACAAAGAAACCCCCCCCCCACAAAAACACTTAATTGTCAGAAGTTTGCGACATATCAAACTTAGATACAAAGTATCAGTATCGGTGATACTGATACTTATACTTTGCAACAAATCAATACCAAAATAATGCAGTATTGCACACCTCCACCAGAAAGTGCTTGTTAAACATTCCTTTGCAATTTTTAGAAGGAGCAACTTTAAAGCAAACCTGAAATCACTTGACACTACGCATTAGTATTGTTAACTTAAATTACACATGGCAGAAAAAAGTTGCTTTTTGTGCGTGTTCATGACTAACGAAGCGCAAATTCATTGTTTCTCAAAATGTTAGTGCATAGCAAATACACCTGGGTATCTAGAAATGATGCAAACAAATAAACTCTTGGTTCTTGGGGAAAATTTCTCAATCAGAGAAAGAGAAGTAGTTGTCGTGACAAAAACTATGGTGATGCACCTGTGGCCCACCTTCCTCCTATTTTCCACTTATTCCAGCTCAACTTTGGTCTAATATTTGGATTAATTGATCTTTTAAAAACTGCGACCATCCTCAAGCCGAACAGCAATCGCATCCCTGCCGTGACGTAAGCAAGCACAGGTTGACATCAGCCCAGAAATCCCAGTGAGTGCACTGCTGATGCGCGCGCGGAGGTGTGACTGTGGAGAGCTGCGCACGCGGCCGATTATCGGATCGGCCTGTGATTGGTCCACGGCGAGGTTGCCCGAGAGCGTGCAAAGAGTTTAAAGTAGCTGCACGAGAGCACGAAGTGGTCACAGCCGGCACGAACCGAGCCGAGCCAAGCGGGTCAGAGAATCATAAACGGAACCACAAATAGAGAGGAGAAGAAGAAGAAGCGCGAGGAAACGAGAGAGATGACTCTACCGACGGTGCGACAACTTTTCCTGCTGTGTTTGTTGGGGATTTTTGGATGTTTGAGCGCAACAGGTGAGTTCAGAGCGACTGGGTTTTAGAAAGTGGTGATTTTTAATTCAATTGCAATTTGTGTGCAGTGTCAAAACCTGCCCGAGGTGTAAAACTGTTTAATTACAGTAACCTGGTAGTTGGTGGGGGCAAATGGATAACAATGCGCTTTTATGAAGGCCATACATAACAATACTAAGGAATGAATGAAAGCAAATCATAATAGTGATAATAAATTTCTGTTTTCCAGCTCTGTAAATATGTTTATTCATCAACGAGGGAGGAAAATATTGCTAATATTAGCAGGGCTCTGCTAGCTTAACAGGGGTTTAATATTTTGTTTTGTTTTTTTCTCTCTAAATGTTTTAAATAACACACCTGGACTGCGACTTGAGGCAGTATTTTCCAAAAATAAAAATATTCAGCAACACAACATGTTATATACAAATGTATATATACAAATGTATATATATATATATATATATATATATATATATATATATATATATATATATATATATATATATATATGTATATATATATATATATATGTATGTATGTATGTATGTATGTATGTATGTATGTATATATATATTATATATATATATATATATTTATATATAAATATTTTTCCCAATTTGTGTATATATAATATACTGATATTAAAATATTAAACCAGACCGAAAAAGTGGGATTAATGAGAACCTTATGCAATGCCCACTTCAAGGTTGTTGTTTTCTAAAGGTGCTTTTAATCTGACAAGCAAGCCTCATCCGAATGCATGTATTGACTGATTATGGCTGAACTAGCATTGAGGTTACATAAGAAAGCTGTAAGCAATACACATGGTTTATATTAAAAGTAAAACTTGATACTAACTAAAGTGTATTCATTAAGATTCTACAGTGTATAATTCAAAGCTGTGCAGCATGCAGACATCTCCAAACTATTCAAAAGTTGTTTGACGTAAAAAAAAAAAAAAAAAAAAAACACCCAGAGGTAAATGTGTGTTTAACAAAAGTAAAGGTGCAAATCTATGACAGGGGCAGAAGTAAGGAGTATAAAAAGTTATATTGACAGGCAAAATATTTAATACAGGTGGTGAAGGAATGTCAAATGATATTTGATTGTCTATAAAATGTGATTATCTTTCCAACTTGGTGTGCCTTTTTAGTGCATTTATAATACGAATCAAACATGTTTAAAAACAGAACTGCACATTTCATGCCGTGAGAAATTTGGTGAAACTTAACCAACTGCATAAGTAACACTTTTTATTTAAAAAAAATAATTAAAATGTTGGACACTCCAGACCAGGCTATAAAGTATATGATTGATCTCAATGAGGTTAGACAGATGCTAAATAATAATAAAAAAAATGATGTCCACGATGTCCAGGGTCGCAGTTTTAGCATTTTACATGTGCTTGTTTAATTCTTAATTTAAATATAGCTTGAATGAATTTGTGTTCAAATCTTACAGACGTCTAATAGAGAGCACTACAGCTAATCACAGACTCTGCACCACGTTTTGTTCTCCTCCTTCCCTCTCACAGCTCCCCTCATAGTAAGGGGCGAACTTTGCTGGAGCAACAAGTCAGCGTTATTGTGACATTAAGCCGTTTAGCCACTGGGGGTCAGCTGGAGCCAATTTTTAGCTGATGTTCTGTTAGTCACTAATGATTAGATTCTCCGTAAGAGTCCTAATGATCCTGTGGATTTTTTAGTTGGATTGGATTTGAAACCGCTGCTTAAAAGTCCCCTCATTTCGCCTGAAGCCGCACACAATTACCCAGTCTTTGATTCTCCAGGAAAGTGTGCAAATCTCATTTAAAAATGACTCAAATTAAAGCTTTGGAGCTAATTGCTACGGGATGGATTAACAGTGCGCTCCAAAGGGCTGGAGATGCAGTGATAGTTTTGTTTCTCACACAACATGATTAGAGAATGCTAACGTTCTGTGTCCTGTTTGTCCAGATGCCAGTCTTTTTGGACAATGGCGGGATGACACCGTATTAACAAAGGTAGCAATCTCGTTTAATTATCACAAATTAAAAGACCAATTAAATACAATAGGTCACACTGATGTGCAGCAGCCAGACCCAGAAGAAGCAGTAATGATGCTGAGCTGTAATCAAACCTATGGATTTTGCTCTATGTCTCCAAAAGCAAACAGTTATTTTGAATACTATATTGTATTATTGTAATACGTTATTAAATCCTAAAACCTTTGTTGTTTGTCCGAAGGTGCGAGGCGTCCAGAGCGACGATATGAGTAATGTGTTGTGGAGAGACCAAGATGAGGTGAGTCGACATCACAATCGCTTTGGACTCCCTGAGCGACTGGGCTGCCATGATAACATTAAACATTTAAGATTAAAGAGAAGAAGAAAAGATTGAGCACCGCATTTCCCGTCAGCCTCAGTTCCCGAAAGAGCAATGATGCGTTTTCCTCTCAGAGATAATGTGTGTCGATGATGCCATTGTTCACCAAACTCAGAGGACATTTTCTGCAAATGCTTGCCGGGATCAGCTGAGGCGTTTCAATTAGTGTGGGTTTCACAAGGGCGTCCTTCATTTAAAAAAAAAAAATGTGGTGCAGATTTTATTCTCAGAAAAAGAAACCGAAGGAAGACAAAGAAGCGTCTCGTAAATGCATCGTCGGTTTTGGGTTTCTTTCAGTTTAAGGATGCCAGACGAGTTTCGAGAGGATGCTCTTTTGTGACTTTACAAACAGAATAAAGGCTTTAAGGAACAGAAATGGTCAAAACTCAACCTGAGTTTTAGTGAATCTGATGAGCATAGTCTTCAACTCAAGACTTGATCAGCGTAGCTATTTTAGGCTTTAGCTATAACAGTTCCCAATATCTCTTGACCAGAAACAGGGATAAGTAATAGAAATGCTTTTGTGATCAAACTGACAAATAAACTTTTTATTTTTTATTTTTTTTGACACAATCGCACCTTGGGCGGTGAGCTGCATCTCCAACACCAAACATCGCTACCATGACAGAGTAGAAAATAACTAGTTTGCTGTAAGCTAGTTTAGAGGGATTGGATGCTGTCGTTTTTTGCAGATAATCTGCAGTTTAATTCCTGGTGAAAACAACTTCTTTTTTTTTCTTCTTTTCTTAACTACCACTTCTCTTGTTTCACCTTTTGTGCTGATTTTCTGAACCCAGCTAAATTCATTTTAAGCATAAGCGCTATTTCTACCAGTAATTCAGCTCTCCTCCCCCACTAACTCAAGTAATCGTGTTAAAATTAAACAGCTTTTATTTCCAAATCAAATGAAGTGGACTCAACCAGCTTTGACATAAAGTAGCAATTATCTGAATTTTTTATCTTTAGTTTGCTAGGTTCAAAAAAAGTAAAAGAAATGTTATAATCCTGGGCTTTTTCAGGGTCAAAGCTATATCTGGTTTGTCTTTATTTGATTAGTGTAGCCACTTCGGGTTTGCTTTTGTTACATTGTGCATCTGTGTTCGGCTTGCCTATTTTTTTGTTACATAGTGGCCATTTTGGGCTTGCTTTTTGTTACATTGTGCACCCATGTTCAGCTTACCTCATTGAGTGTTTCACCCGTGCTGACTTTGTACTTTTTCACTACGACCACTATAGTGCTCATAGTGCTCCTTGCAGCTTTTTCTGCTGCTGAGGAACCCCTGGTTTTCTGCTTGACCAGAAAACCAGGGTTCCTCAGCAGGAACAAGAGTGGCGATTTCAGCTCGACCTGACCTAGTACTATGAGCGTGAGATGCATGCTGCAGAGCTTGTTTGGCCACTTTCCGGTTGGGTGGTGGGCATGATCTTTGTCCCTCTTGTTTGGGGCCGGATCTCTGATGCTGTCTGCCCTAATTGTTCTGTCCTGCCCTTGTCCCTGCGTACTGCTTGCTTGGCTGACTTTCAAGATGCCAGCCAGCCTGTGAAGCATATGGATCCTGAGGCTGAGGCACTGGTCTGACTGGGGACCCTGACCCAGGGCAGAGCATGGATTCAAGACTCTCTGCTTTTGCCCTGGCAGCATCTGGCACTGATCATCAAGATCAGTTTGACTCTGGCTCACATCTGTCGGCAACCAGTTTGCGTATCCGACCAGTTGGTCGGAAGAGGATAGTTTGATACTGGGCACTTGGGGAACTGTTCTTGCTCGGTTGCAGCTGGATGCTGCACAGAACCAAATTGCTGCTTCCAGTGCTTTCTTTTGATGTCCTACTACTAGGTCAACCTTTATGGTTCTCCCATCTGCTGGATATGTGAAGGAGGTCCATGCATGTTGGGCAGACACTAACGCCTTCTCACAGCCGACCTCTGATGGCAGGGCCCTGGCGGCCATGCAAGATGCGCCCAAGTTCGGCTTGGGCCATATACCTTCTGTCGAGCCTGCCATAGCATCACTCACTGTGGCGCCAGATGAGGCGTTGAGAGCTAATGCCAGGTGTCATGGCCAGTGGGTCGGTCTCCATCCACTCTGAAAGTTTATGTTGCTGCCATCTCTTGCTGGCATACGGTGGTAGGTGGAGAGACAATAGGCCGTAACAAGGATGCTTCCTTGTGTCTGATGCGTACAAATGCATTCAACATTTGTGGTAAAAGAAAATAAACAACAAAAAATAATTGGCAGATAATCAAAGACAGGCTTCACAGATGGCACAGTGCAGAGGTAAAACACATAAAGCTGGTAAAATATGCAGAACAATTGCTGGAAGGTGTCATAAAACACAGAAAACTATAGAGATGGAACATGCAGAAGTACAACGTGGATAAGCAGATAACACCTCTGAATTCCTCTCTGTTCCTCTTGTATATTTGTTTTCTAGAGTTATGACAGGTTGTATTATAACACATTTTTTAATGTGTATTTTTGATGTTTATGTTTATTTTCTTCCACAGGAGCAAGTCCAGAATATTTTCAAAAGGGTGAGATTTTCTTTGTAAATTTTATCATATTTAACTTATAATTTGAATGGTAAACAACTTTTTCTTTTCTTTCTACCCCACAGTTCCTGTTTCATTACTCCAAAGCACGCAACTCTGTCGGAGCTGTTCAAAAAACGGTGAGCAAGACGATGTCCGGAAATGTCTTTGACTCTTTAGCTGTCGATGCGCCGTTTCTCATCCCACCGCGTGCATTGTCCAGTAAAGCGTCTCTCACTTGGGTCCAAACGTGAAGATGTGAGGGCGGCACAGTTTGTGAAATCAAGTCCCATCACACATGAAGCATATGTTCATTATATATCATATTCTGATGTAAATTTCCTTCTAGATGTTCACTTAATCATTTAAAAATGTAAAGAAAACTGGAATCCAAGCACAAATCCTGGTCACACAAATCGCTGACTAATGCAAATTAAATTGTTTTATTCTACAAAAACAATAGTCGGCAATAATTTAGCCCTTTTATTCCGTCTAACCACGATGAATAATCTAATTTTCTGTTTCTCGTTTAGTCCCACGCAGTTCACCCTTTGCTGCGACTTGTGCCTAAACTAACCGAGAGAAAGAAGAAGGTGCTTTCTGCTGGTAAGAAACGTTTTCACTCATGCAGCTCTGGAAAAAAACTCAAAGCCCACTGCACTGAACCTCATTGAAAACCTCCTGCTTATTCCACCACATACTGATCTCTGAACTCTTCCTGAGTTCAAACATAATGCTGCTGCTTCTAAATCGATATCAACTTGTTTTCTTTGCATCGTTTGAGGTCTGGAAGCGCTGCGTCTTTTTTTGCTCGTTATTTTGACCATTTCTCATCTTCCGCCAATAAATACATTTTTTGCTTGTGATTTTAGAGACATGTTAGTAGGTCATAGAATAAAAGAACAATGTTCATCTCACTTAAACGTATAACTGTGAAGAGTAAAATCAGAGAATGGAGCAGCACATCTTTTTAACTCAACTCAGAAGCCACATTTCTGCTCATATGAAGTCATTTTATTAAAATTCTGAGTTGTTCCTTCAATATGAACAAAAAACAAAGAGAAAAAACATCGTCTGCAATAATTTATCACTCTGCAGGCCAGTGGATGTTAAAGTCCAGACGCCGTCAGAGAAAAGGAGTCATTCCATTATTTCTCCTCTGCTTTTAAAGACTTATCCTTTCAGGCAGAGAAGAAGAAGAAGTGATTAGGACGGAGCCCGAACAAATGCCATCGACTTCATCACTGTTCTTGTTCATTACCTGCTCTCACTGACATTTCTCTGCCTCTCATTACTTGCTGCTAATTGAACAGAAACTCCGAGACCTGCCAGAGGGAACGTTGTAAAGGAGGAGGAATTTGAGAAAGTCAGGGAAGGAAATGACACGCAATGAGGAAGAGGAGCAGCTGGAAGCTCCGGCCTGGATGGAGAATCTACCGATAACGGGCAGCGAGCAGCGTCTCTTGCTCCGGACGGAAACTGCTTTTTTTTTTTTTCCTGAAAAGAAAATTACTTTTAAAGATGAAAAAAACAAACAAGCGTTTTGAGATGACGCATCGGCGTCTCGACGCTTCCAAATGTTACAGAGTTTCTCTCTAAAAGATATAAACACTTCAAAAATCATTAGCAGTGACTTTTTTTAATTTCAAAAGAGAACTTTGGAAACTAAATGCGGCAAAGAGGAAACGTCTAACTAAAGGAGGATGAAATGTATATGTACATTTTGTGACAAAATTACCATGTAATAATAAAAAAACAATTCAAATTTGTGTGTAAGGTTACAAAAAAACCAAAGGTGTGTTGTTCCAGAAGAGTGGCCTGCCCACGTGCCTTTAAGCAGGACGGAGCTCTGTAGAAATAAAAAAAGATTATAATATATGATCAAAGAGGTCCTGCTCGGTTCTTTAATGTTCTGTCTCCAAAGGCGTTTTCCTCTGTTGGGAGTGTTTTTTGTTTTGGTGTTTCTTTAATCGTCCTCGTCCTCAGAGCCGCTGTCCTTCCGCGTCGGAAGCGAACTTCTGATCGACGACATCAGCTTGTCTTCGATTTGTTTCCTGGGGTTTTCTTCCAGGTCAGTCTTCACTGCACCGGTTTCCGATAACCTCCATTCCAGCTCTGCACAATTAGGAAAAAAAAACAACAAACAGAAACACGCAAACAATGAAAAAAATACAGAGGAAAAATTTCACAAAGTTTCTAAAACAAAAAAATTTAATACAAAACAAGGGGAGTGAAATTTTCAAAACTGCACAAGATTCCCAAAGTCAGGAGTTTATTTCCACTTCAGATACAATAATTCACAGGAGAGCATCGGGTGCAGTTACAGTGAGCAGAGTCAAAATATTGTGCTTCTGTTCCCTAACAACCCTTAGAAAGTCTTGATGGAGTCGGAAGTTTATGCGCAAATTTATGCATACTTCCGACCTCGGCTACAACCAAAATAGAAAAAACTAAAACGTCGCCTCACCTTCGACCTTGAGGTTCATGCCCCCGAAGACGAGTGGGCCGATGAACTGGGCCTTCATCTCTCCCTCGAAGTAGACGAAGATGGTCGGCAGGTTGCGGTCGGGGTAGTTGGGGATGCAGGTGGTGGAGATGGAGCGGAGGAACTTGGTCTGAGGAAATTTCCTGGCCAGGCCGCTCAGGTGCTGGTTGATGAGGGTGCACAGAGGGATGCTGGGCCGAGACCAAACAGACAGAGAGGTCAGCTCTGAACTATGAACTTTGTAAGGAAACGATTCGTGTTAGGACAGTCTGAAGAAGCAGTAAACAAAAAGAAGTCGGGTTAACTTTAGCTACCGTAAGAACATCGACTTGTTTTAAGCTCATCTTATCATCTATAAAACTTTGGTTTTAGGTTTGTTTTCTAGTCTTTTCCTAATAATTAAAGTCATCGTAAAAAAGCTTCTCCGGTAATGTCTATGATTACATTTTAAAGACATTGTCAACCTAAATATTTTGATATAGGCTGAATTCAGAGACTTACAAAATAAAATGTTCCAACATGGATCAAAAATAGGGAGACGAGGTGTTTAAATTATTTTTAGCTGATCACCGGTCTTTAAAAATCCAAAATCAGATTTCCTGAATTTACTGATGTCAAATTTATTTATATAGCACTTCTAAAAACGGGTTTAATTCTGCACTAAATTACTGTACAAAAGTGACAACACTAGAATAAGTTGATAAAAAGAGAGGAAAAAAATAATACAAAATAATAATAATGACAGGTGAATAAAATAAAAAAACAAATGTTACTCATTTATTGATGCTCTGGTGGCAAAAAACAGGAGAAAATGGTTGAAAAAAATAACATTTTAGTCTAGCCTTTGTCTTTTAACTAACTGAAATTTATTGTGACAACGATAAATCAAAATTCTTATCACGATGAGGAATTTTTCACAATAAACGATACAACAATCCCCACCTTCAGCGGCTTGGTCTGTCAGTCCTCTCTTAAGGGAGAGAAGACGGAGACAGAGGCTGATTTTCAGACCTTTGCAGAGGTAAATAATATCAGCGGATAGGAACGGTTTGTCATGCAGGTATCAGAAGATCCGATCACCCAAAAATTCAAGAAATCGGGGCAGATTTATCGGCAGGTTGACCTACCCCTGCTTGTAGAGGTGCAGCACCACCCAGATGCCCTCTCCGGCCTTGTTGACCTCCTTCACGTAATCCTGCCCGGAGATTTCACCCAACTCTCCGAACACGTTCTTCATCTGGGCCGCCTTCCACTCGGCAAGACGTTTCTGTCTGGAAGGAGATCCGGTACGTCAGCGGAGAAATCCCTCACGCCAACAAGTAAACACGACTGGATAAACCAGCATCCGGACCAAATGCGATGAAAGTCGACATTTTTCAAACGTCTCCAGTTTTCCGGGTCTCCTCACGCAACGCGAGAAGGCGAAACTCATTTTTACTCACTTGTACATCTCGATGGCGGCCTCGTCGTCTTCTCCAAACTCGTCCTCGTTCTCCTCCAGCTCTTCCAGCGTCATGCTCTCGTAGGTTTTCACTGCGGAGGAAAACAGCGAGCCTTACACCATCTGACTTATGAGTTGAAGATAAGTCAAATTACAAAGCTTTGATCGCTTAAGATGTCTGATGAACTCATGGTGGCAAATGTGTGTATGATACTGAACAATAACTAATGACACTCATACCAACAGACTGCTGCTGAAGGGCCACTTCCTCCTCTTCATCATCTTTAGGGATCTCTTTAGGAGGAAGGATGCCTTTCTTCCTCAGGATGTCATTCCACTCCGTGTCTTCGTTCGGGTCCTTCAGGTAGAAAAAAAGGCGCATCAATTTATTTTGATTGTTAGTTATTTTTTTGACAAAATAAGCTGAAATTCACCTTATTTTGAGCTGAGTATGGAACTTTTCGTTCCATACTAGCTGAAAAACACACACATTATTGTTCATGCATATTATTTGTTTAGCTGTGAATAAGATTCAAGGAGATAACTGTCATTTCAGTTAATTAATCATTCATAATCTGCTCGTTCTTAAAAGTTCCTAAAGCTGAGTAGCCGCTATGCTAGCTGGGTGTCACCGCTTCGATCTGAAATGTCGTAAATTTCAGACCCAGAGCCACGACAGCTAGTCGCAGCGAATCGCCGCGTTTTCACAACAAGTCGGTCGGATTCATTATGGAGCCATAAAACGTTGCGCTGACCTGCATTTCGCCGGGGAAAGAGAGACTCTTGAAATCACACCGCCGCTCTTCTCCCTGGAGCGGAAACAGAAGGAGCTCACGGCGGGTGACTCCGGAAGAAACCACAAAACCGAAAACTTCTCCAATTAACGCCACGTGTGCTTTTCAATCCTAAAGTTCGGCTAATTTCTATAACCATTTCCGTAGTACGTTTGGTTATTTTTTTCAACCGCTGGGCAGTTCTGTGTTTTTCAGTCGACCGTACCTGGAACTGTTACTTTGATGGTACGACAAAAATAAAGGTGACACCGACTTCCTTCGGAGCTCAATATGACCAAATAAGGTGTGCGAGCGCAACGTTCCATGTGACGTGCGCTGACAGCGACACCAAACAGGTGTTACCCACTCTGACAAACCGACTCGCTTTTTAATGGCTCGTCTGGTTCAGTCACTCTGTGCACAACTGAGGAAGATTAAACATTGTATTAGTTTGATGTTATTTGGGGGACAAGTTGAATAAGTGATTGAATTTCTTATAATTTCTTATAACGTAAACCTAAATAATAATTAAGGTCAAAGACAAAATCATAAGAGTTATATGTGGAAGGTTAGCGCCACTTGCTAGCTTAAATGTCCAATGAAGGATGGGTTTAAAAAAAATCAATCAATCAATCAATTCACATCAAATCTGCAGGGACTGCAAGGCTAAGTGAGCGTTCAGATCATGTCACAGAGATTGTGGAATAAAATGGGCGTGGCTTACGACACCTGGATGATTTCTATAGGTAGATGTCAAGCTTGGATGGTGTGGTGCAGTCCTGCACAGCAACACGCACAACACACACTCATACTTAAGGTCAACTTAAGAGACTAATCAACACAACTTGAATGTTTTTGGACTGTGGGAGGAAGATGGAGTAACAGGAGAGAACCCAAAGATGGACAAGGAGAACACCCTAACTCCACTCAGAAAAAAGATATTTTGAACCTTTTCCCTGCAAGGCAACAGTGTTAGCCACACAAAAAGGTACCCTTATACTAGAAAATGTATAAGTTTTAATTAAAAAAAAAAAACTCAAGTAAATAATTGGATATTTGAACATTAAAGCCACACAAAGATGCAATGAGTTTTAAAGACTAAAAATAACCCACTAGTTTGTCGCTTTTACATTTTAAAAAAGTGGTATTATTTGTTTTTGCAAGTAATGTTTTTTTCCTCAAAGAAGCAATCGTTTTTGGACATGTATACAAAATGTATATATATATATATATATATATATATATATATATATATATATATATATATATATATATTGATGTTATTTGGGGGGGGGGGGGAATAGGACAAGTTGAATAAGTGATTGAATTTCTTATAACGTAAACCTAAATAATAATAATTAAGGTCAAAGACAAAATCATAAGAGTTATATGTGGAAGGTTAGCACCACTTGCTAGCATAAATGTCCAATGAAGGATGGGTTTAAAAAAAATCAATCAATCAATCAATTCACATCAAATCTGCAGGGACTGCAAGGCTAAGTGAGCGTTCAGATCATGTCACAGAGATTGTGGAATAAATTTTTTTTTTTAATTGACCTTTTTATTTTGAAAATGATAGGTGGAACGTTCATGACTTAAGATACAATCAGTATTTTTTGTTTTTATTTACCAACTTACTGCTACATAGAATTAAAAATGTCCATGCACAAATCAGTAACTAAATTGATGATTTTAATTAGCTCAACAGACGACCTTTGGGTTTTCCTGCAGTGCTTTATAATCAATGTGAAAGTCTTATTAATGTGATTACAATCAGAGTTCAGAAAATCCTAACAGGATGTCGTGG